TTGCTCCACTCTGTAATAAAACTCTAACACCACATTACCAAGCTGCTGTGAAACCCCTCGAGCATAGCCTCTCCTGTCTAGCCTTTCAGTGCTTTCAGCCGCGGAGGACATGAATCTGTCATACGGGGGGAATACCCTCGAAGGAAGTGTGGGGGGGGGGACCGTCAGCCGCAGCGGGAGGTTGGTGTCAGGAGCCAATTGTCTCGACCGGCACTTGCGTCCCTGTTGCCCGCAGCAGCCCGGGTCCGGCGTTGGTGCCTGGGATGACCTGACGTTGCTCACTCGTCTTTCTCTGCTCTGGGTGGACGCTATTATCCCCTTCTTCTTTGTTTTTCTTTCCATGTCACTTACTACCCCTTTCACTGTTATCTGCGAGGTTCTTAAGATCGATCTGTACTTCGAAGCTCGTAAAAAATACAGAAAGATGCGGGAGATTACCAAATATATAAAAAAAAAGTCTGCGAGCCCGACGAGATCTCAAGGCAGCTAAATCCCATTCATTCACAGAGAGGGCGAGTAGTCAACAACAACGGTCCTGGAGAAGGTATGAATGAACAGAAGTGGAAGGAAGGTCCCCCTGGTCTGGCTCACTGGGAGACACGGATGGCAGAAAATATATACAAGGATTTGTAGATAGAGTAATTGACAGTGAAAGAGATAGATGGATAGACGGCTCTGGAGGCAGATATATGGGTAGACAAATGGAGATAAGTGAGACAATGTATGTAGATAGAAATAGATAGGCCAGTTAACCGAGAGAGAGAGAGAGAGAGAGAGAGAGAGAGAGAGAGAGAGAGAGAGAGAGAGAGAGAGAGAGAGAGAGAGAGAGAGAGAGAGAGAGAGAGAGAGAGAGAGAAATCGAATGAGAGAGAAAGATCGAAAGAAAGAGATGGACAAAAGAATAAAAGCGATAACAGTCGAACAATGATAGTGTACACCAGTGGTCTTCATTGCGCGGCTCGCGAGCCAGTGGCGGCTCGCCAAGACCTGAGTGGCGGCTCGCAAAACAGAGAGAGAGAGAGAGAGAGAGAGAGAGAGAGAGAGAGAGAGAGAGAGAGAGAGAGAGAGAGAGAGAGAGAGAGAGAGAGAGAGAGAGAGAGAGAGAGAGAGAGAGAGAGAGAGAAATGACGCTCCTTCCGCACAGGAACTGTACGTGTAGGTTACGTAAAATCCAGTGCTCGGCGACCCATACTTTGCCAGTATCAAAAATATGTAAAAAATATGTAATTTAGTTTCTGTATATATTTTGTTCTGCTAATACTAATCCTTGTAGTTTACGAGGCATGTGGCTCTCAATCTGAATATGCCCTGAACTTTTGGCTCTCTTGAAAAAAATAGTGATTAACACTGGTGTACACCCTCACTTTATCCTTGTCGTCCTTATACTTCACGGAGAACGTAAAACAGACAGAAAATCTTTTAGTTACGGTGTCGGGTCATAAAAAGAGATATATGTGACAACGAAGATCCCTTTCGAACTTGCAGGAAACTGCCTCACGATTAACTTATCTTTGCAAAAACTAAATATCAAATGCATGTGCGTGTTCCATCACTTATTCTCACCGCAATGAAAACAGACATCTAAATAAAACGAACCATTCCCATAAAGAACATAGATGAAGTCTTTGAAGCTAGTAACTACCTTCAACCCCAGAGAGCTAAATCTTGCAATATTGAAGGGGAGGGAGGAAGGGAAGGGGAGTTAAAGGAGGGAGGGGCGAGGGGGAGGGATAAGGGGGAGGGTCAGGAGGAGGAGGAAGGGAGGGGGAAGAAGAGTAGGAGGAGGAGGAGGAAGAAGAGTAGGAGGAGGAGGAGGAGGAGGAGGAGGTTGAGGAGGAGGAGGAGGAGGAGGAGGAGGAGGAGGAGGAGGAGGAGGAGGAGGAGGAGGAGGAGGAGGAGGAGGAGGAGGAGGAGGAGGAGGAGGAGGAGGAGGAGGGGGGTGGAGGAAGAGAAGGAGGAGGACGAAGAAAAGGTGAAGCAGGAAGAGGAAGAGGACGCGGAGAGGGGAAGGGGCAACGAAGAGGAGGAGCAGGAGGAAGATGACGAGGGAAGGAAAGGGGATGACGAGGGGGGAAGGGGCGACGAAGAAGAGGAGCAGGGGGAAAAAAGTAAATAAGGAGAGAGAGAGGGAAGTTCTTTCGTAGAGTTTAGACGACTCACGAGTTACTTCCTTGCGGTAAGCCTTCACTCACAAACAAGCTCCATGACTTGAACGCTCTCTCTGTCTCTCGGCTCGCAGACGTTTATCTGTTGGTCTCTCTTTCTGTTTCTCTAACTCTGTCTGTATAGCTATTTACCTCTCTCTTTTGTTGACTAACTTCTCACACTCACCTATCTATCCATCTATCGCTCGATCTCTATCTCCATTTCATTCTCTTTCTGTATCTCTTCTCTCCTCTCCTCTCTCCTTCTCATTGTCCTCTCTCTCTCTCTCTCTCTCTCTCTCTCTCTCTCTCTCTCTCTCTCTCTCTCTCTCTCTCTCTCTCTCTCTCTCTCTCTCTCTATTTCTCTCTCCAATTGTCCCTCTTCCTCTCCCTCTCCTTTCTATCTCTCTCCTCTTCTCCCTCTCCATCACCCTCTCTTCACCCATCTCACTTTCTCCCTCTTGCTTTTCCTTTCTCTCCACTCTCCCTCTCCCTCTCCTTTCTCTCTCTCTTCATTTTCCCCCCTCTCCATCTACCTTTCTCCCTCTCCCTCTCCCTCTCTTCACCCATCTCTCTCTCTCCCTCTCCCTCTCCCTCTCTTCACCCATCTCTCTCTCTCCCTCTCCCTCTCCCTCTCGGCATCCCCGCGCGTTTCTATCTCGTCCTGCTATTAGGTCGCTCTTCATCCGGTCGAAACTGGATTTTACATAGCAAGCGGAGAGGAATAAACCAGTGTACTTTAAGTGAATGGGAAACTCTAGTTCATATTAAATTAAATTTTAGATTGAAAAAAAAAAAAATTCCATTTAACATTTTTCCTCAGAAGATAAAAATATAAACTTTTGCTTGTTCTGAATTATAGGTTTTCGATACACACTGGTTAAGCGTTACGTTATGGCTGGAACACTTTTTTAATGTTAATATATTATGTTGCACTTTGCATGATTATGTTGCAGATAGTGTTCTCATTAAGACGTAATTTACTCAGAAATGCGTAAGAAAAAAGGATCATGTACGTCATACATATCGATATATATGTGTATATGTATGTAAAATACTTGTAAAAGTGTGTGTGTGTGTGTGTGTGTGTGTGTGTGTGTGTGTGTGTGTGTGTGTGTGTGTGTGTGTGTGTGTGTGTGTGTGTGTGTGTGTGTGTGTGTATGTGTGTGTGTGTGTGTGTGTGTGTGTGTGTGTGTGTGTGTGTGTGTGTGTGTGTATGTATGTGTGTGTGTGTGTGTGTGTGTGTGTGTGTGTGTGTGTGTGTGTGTGTGTGTGTGTGTGTGTGTGTGTGTGTGTGTGTGTGTGTGTGCGTGTGTGTGTGTGCCAGTGAATATATCGACTAAATGTCTATAGATATTCTAAAAGACCCACTGGTTTTTGCATCAGTCTGCTTGCATTTCTCAAGAAGCCTAAATTAGTCTCGTGAAACTCTCTTGCCTTTCCTTTCAACATATTAGGTATTTGTTTGTTTATTATTCTAATGTTTACAGAAGAAAGGGAAAATATGTGAGAATTATGGACAACTTTATGGTAAACTTTATCCATAAAAGATTGTGATATATATAGATGAATCCTTAGTGAAAGAATGACAGACAGATATACAATAAACGAAGGCGAGAGCGAGAGAGAAAGAGAGAGAGAGAGAGAGAGAGAGAGAGAGAGAGAGAGAGAGAGAGAGAGAGAGAGAGAGAGAGAGAGAGAGAGAGAGAGAGAGAGAGACTGATAGACTGGCGCAGAAAACCCATAGATAGATGTATGTAACATCATGCACATCTATCGCTTACCGAGACCAGTCAACCGGAAGTGCCCCAGCGCCCCATCATCTCACAGTAGCGCACCCTCTCGCTTCCTAACTGGCTTCGTCTCTCGTCTCTCTCCTTGGGTCTTTCTCTCCCCTTATCTCCTTCGCTACTCATAGGACTTCATCACCTATTCTAGGTTCGGGAGTTCTAGAGCCTAAATTTCTGTTCATCGATGTCCGGCGGGATGAAGCATCGCGCTTTCTTCGGAGGAATCACCTTCGGAGGACGATTCTATTCTCGGACCTCCCTTTGGCGTGGACTCTTTCTCTTACCGGGCCTGCTTGTACGTGGAAGATTTCGAGTCCTTCCTTCCACTTCTCTTTGTCTTGCGATTTGGCTTCAGGTTCGTCGAAGATACCTTTGCCTTCTGGCCTCATGACCCTACGCTCTTCCCGGGTTTCGTGAGGAAACTGAACGCCCTCTCCGTCTGCATCTATTTCGGTAGGTTTCTCTTTCCATCCCTTCCGCGTTAGGAGAGATTTCCATACGCCTGTGTCCTCTTGTGCATCTGCGATTCTGCGAGCTCGTTTTCCTTCGTCAGACCTTCAGTAAGCTGGGCTGTCCTCATCGGGGTGACCAGGACGCAATGTACCTTCCATCACTTTCTTCCTAGACAGACTCCCCAAGTGTCAATCTTTAGTCTGCCCTTCTCTGAGGACGGCTGCTATTTACCCCCCCCCCCCCCCCGTCCCTTCTCCGCCCTTCCGGTGACCATCCTACGCTTAATTCTCTTTCATTCTGCTCATGTCCACACCCGGAGACTGGAGGAATCTTCTCTTATAAGCAAGCGGCCCAATTTCAGCCTGAGTAGCGTAATCCCCTCTGTAGACAGCATCCTCGCTCCCTACATAATACTTCTCATATGCCTCCAAAGCCCTTTTTACATAACCTAACCTGCCTCAGCTTCCATGTGCCCTTCCTATATCATGTTGCTCCTCTCGTCTGCCTCTTTATCCCCACGAAAAAAACAGACATATACACAAATGTACAGACATAAAGAGAGATCAATAAAAGAATAAACAAGCCAAAGGGAAATTTGAGAAGCTCGACTCACCTCCACCGTTCTTGTAGCAGATGTAAGGGAACCGCCACACATTGCCGATACCGATGGCATTGCCGACGAGGGAGAGGATGAAGTCGAGGTGGTTGGACCAGGTGCCTCGCAGGGTGTGCTCCGCCATGGCCGCCACTTGCCCGGCGTCGTTGGGCGTCTGAGGGAGCGACGTGCCGTTCAACCCGTACTGGCTCATCTCCATGCCTCCGCCGTCGCCTCCTCCGCCTCCTCCTCCTCCGCCACCTCCGCCGCCTCCCGCAGATTTGCTCTTGTTCTTCTCATCGCCCTCCATGTCTGGGCTGGGCGTGGGTGTGTCTGGGGCGTCCGGTGTGGCTGTGATGGTCGCCGCTGCTCACTCGCGAGGCTCCCTTGGCACGGGGGGGCTCCGGAGGGGGAGGTTGTCACGCGCTGCAAAGGCACAAAGACAAACTTGGTAATTACAGTTGATAATAGTGTATGTAAGGAAACCGTAATACAATATTAACATCAATAATAACCCATACAAGTGGTGGTAAAGAGTAATAGCAAAATTCATAACGATAATGATGATGATGGTGACTATCATAATTGAATTAAAGACCCAACGGTAGAAGAGTAATAAAGCAACAACATTGATGATGATACAGATATTGATAAAATTGACAGCGAAAACGGCAGTAATAAAATAATCAGGATAATGGTAATAATGATGATAATGATAATAATGACGATAATAATGATAATGATAATGGCAGGAATAACAGTAACATCATTATTAATAACAGCAATGGGAATAATGACAATGACAAAACAATAAAATCATCCAACTGATGCTGATAAACTGCAACACATCAACATGTATCCTTCCAATTACCTCCCCTACTCAACAAGTGCCAACGACCATTTTCAACTACCACGCAGAACGAGTAGACGCACAGCGAGAAACAAGCGATCAGTTACGACCGCAACATGAGGAAGGTTTCGTCACCGTCACAAAACAGAAAAGAGAGGAACGTCACACCCTCAAGTCATTGCAAGATGGAGATCGCCTTCAGGTAGTTTGCTTGTATGTAAAGTAGGAACTGAAGACTTCCGAGTTGACAACTTCAAAAAAGAACATATAAGTATATATAAAACATATTTTTTTCAGTAACTACAAGGGACTAAGACGTAAATCCCTTATTATTCACATGCAGATGTTTTTGCCATCGATGTATATTTATCCCTAAACAAGAATAAATCGAATAGATCCGACTATTTAACACCGTTACAGTGAGCAAAACGAATTAATGAGATCTACCCAAAATATGAAAATAATACAGCTGTCAAGGGCATTTAGGTATTCGAACAAAGTAGTATGTATCCTTTCTTCAGGAGTAAAAGGAGTAATCTATACATATCCTCTTGTTACAGCAGAATCATTGGACCATCTCGCAAACGTGTCTAAAGAAGTGTCGATGAAGAGAAAACCTCTTCTCTTTAATCTTAAGGTGACTTAAATGACGATTTGAATAATTGAAATGAAATGTTAATTGCGATAATTAAAAAATAAAAATAAAGCGAACTACTTCTATACAAACTTACAAAGGTCACAAAAATACCTTTTCCGTGTTAGATGTAAAACAAATACGATAACATTCTCTATACGGACGTTGTCCCATGTCAAGCCGTTGATCCCAAACTCTTAACTTAGCTGTAAATATAAAACTTTCCGTGACTTAACTAAGTCACTTTGTCAGAATATCAAGCAAACGACACCCTTTTGAGATTTTATCAACAGATGACCCTGACACTATATTAAATATTCGCACGGTCATGTTATAAATTAGCATAGATACCAGCGTTCCCTACAAGACAAACATTGTTAAACGTTCCCCTTCTCTGACAAAGCTACAACTAATCGATATTATACTCACAAAACTGTAAAAGTGAGCGGACTGGACACTACTCTTCAGGCTTAATACAAAAAGAAAAATATTGAATCACTTAAATAAAAACAAATTATATGAAAAAAAACAGATAGTATGATTCTTATAAAACATGAGAAATAGTTTGAATTTCCAAACATTTTCACAAAGTCTGTAGAATCACTTATGAACAAACTTCTGCCTTCATGTCATGAGAAGGCTCACTGTAAATGTTTTTAAAAGCACAATCACTGATTACCATACAACAGTCCAAACAGTAAAACACTTGTATGAAAAAAATCTATAGAAGCCGAGTCATCAAAAATAAATCTATAGACAGCGGTGCCTTCTCATTACTTCGCTAACATGGCACCCTCGTACCTGTTTTCAAATATGGAGATGAAATCATTTGTTATCGTCTTTTCACTCTACTCTCTGCGATATCTAAAGTGAATAACAACAAACCAGTTAGGGACAGTCAATTACCATTTTTTATTACAACACAACATGGATCCCCAAGTAAGCTATTCCAACTAAGCATTAAATACCGGAAGCGAAACTTATGACAGCGCGTACAATAATCAAATAATTATATCAAAACCATATGTATCTAC